ATACATTTTATCATATTTCAGTAAAGTATTTCTAAAACAAATATTGAAATATATTTGAAAATTGTTCAATATGTTGAAAATAACAATGACCATGATGCTTATTGGATTCATAGGTATGCCATTCATTAAGTAATTTTTAAATAAAGATTATTTATAAATATATTTATTGTACGAATAGTATTGAGTGAATGCCAACCGGGAAATGGATGCGGAGATGGTAGTGATGGTAGTCGTGATGGGGGTCGACGTGGGGGTCGTTTCGGTGGAGACGTGGAGGTAATGGACAGGGAATTGGAGGGTCTGGCAGTGGACGTCCTAATGGGGGTCAACAACCAGGAGTTGGCGGTCAAAGTGGAGGTGGAATTCCTGTAATTAATTCTAAATAACCAGGATTATTTTAAAATATAATTTATATTATAAACTTAAAAATAATAGACTCGAATAAAATAATTTAAAATAATAATTTCCAAATTGTTTATTTAATGATTACAACTGTAATGTTATAGTTATTATTTATTATGAATTGGACAATCTAAGCTAACATGATCAATACCAGCCAGTTCCATGTATTACAAATTATTACAACTAGTGATGTATAGACTAACGAAAGTAAATGATTAAAGAACGTATTTTCAACACTACTTATTTTTTTAATGATAAACAATCATAAATATAAGAGTAATACATTTTAACATATGAATGAAATCCTATAAACTTATTAATCATTGATTCATTAATATAAAATTAGTACACTATTAAGTTTATAAAATATTATATTCAAAATATAAAATAGTTTTAATTTGGTGAATTAAGTTAACACCAGATGGTGAATACTTTTAATTCGTTTCATAAAAATTTTAATTTTATTTCATAGTGTTATGTGTATTTAAAAATTGTAATAAAATTTGTAAAACAAATTACGCGATAAATTTTTCTAAAATATTTAATTTCTAATGCTCTAGTAGTAATGTTTATAACATTTATAAAATTCATTTATTATATATTTTAATAGTCAATAATGTTGAACAATATTTTGAATGGTTAATACCGTATCAAGGGAATTATCGATAAAATTATTATATTAAAAATATAAAAATATTTGGCCTCATAACTCTTGGCCAATTTTAATATAAAATAATTACACAATTTACTTTATCATTAAATGTGATTATTT